GCATGTCCGTCTCCAGCAGCGCGCAGCGCAGGCTCATGAACCTACAAAACAATCACAATATTATTATACTGACAAATATAGATTAAAAAAAACACATCACTGTGTGTTACAAACATGTATTGTTTTATTCTAACGAAAACAGTCAGTCAATACATCCGAGATTAGTAGCATCTTCCGTAAAAGTGCAGTCATAATATGTTCAATAATTTCGGGGATTGCCCATAAACATTAAAAAAAAATCATCTACATGAAATGTATTTTTTCTTTCAATTTTACATACATACAAAACAATTTTACAAGTATAGATAAATCTATGAGCTATGAGAGCATACGATAAGTAGTGATTAATGTAAAAACTGGATAACCAGGGGACAGAAAAATAATAATAAAAAAAAACAATATACAAATACAATATTGAATATAAGTAATGTGTTACTTAGTCATAAGATGGTGTCCTCTCTGACGCATGGTCTCCAGCAGGTGCGGTGCGACGTCGTTGAGTGCGCGCTGCGTGCGGCCCAGCTCCTGCCCGAAGCGCCACAGCTTCTCCGCACACACACGGACACCTGCAATTTGCAAGTTACACTGTAATCGCATACAAAGAAATATCACTACATATTGTCAGCTGCGCCAATATATTAATACTAGCTTTTGTCCGCGACTCGATCATGTAAAAAAAAAACAAAACTAGATAGCTTAAGTGTTCTTCCAGATTATGTTCTAAATCGCCAAATGCCAAATTTCATCCAAAACCGTTTAGCCCTTTAGGCTACAAAATCTTATAAACATGCATCCATCCATACATCCTAACTTACGCATTTATAATACATATTAGTATGAAGTGTGAAGTATGATTTACAAAGCTTCTGAAATTTATACATCTCCGAATATGTCGCAGCTATGCAGCAACTATGGAACTAACTGTATAAAGATTATATGTTCAGGTGGTCCACAGTAGTTATACTGGGTGTCCAGGAAAGGAAAAGCTAAAGGAATTATTATTTCTTATTTTATAGAGTAGCTACAGGATTTAAAAAATTTTTGTGTTAAAAGATTGCAACAATTGTTTTTTTTTGGTATTTTAATTACTCACCAAGATCAATACATTTCTGTGTCATAAAGAAGCATTCGGTGACAAAATTGTAGTTGTCCGCAGTGGGTCTTTTGATGCTCTGATTATTCTCATCTTCACGCGGAGGTAGCAGGCAGGTCTCACTGTGTAAGCAGTCCAGATGCACTGATTTTGCTTCACATTCTTCTGGCTGAAATTTAATAAAACCGGAATTTAAAAGAAAATATTTTTACTGTATACTATTGTATTCCAACCAGTGGTCCGCAGAAAATAAAACATGGTCTGATTACAATTTGCGAAAACGTATTCGTATTAATACCTAAAAAATATGTAATATATGAGTTATGTGCAGCACCCCTATCAATATGCAATTTGTGATAAGGTGTTTTGCAACCAACTTAAATTCATCATTGAAATTTGTACAATAACAATCAACTTTCTCTTTAGGCTGTTATTTGCATTTATGTCAATAAAATTACTTACAATCACCGCTCCATATGTTGGATCAATTTTGAGAGATTTAGGATCATCAGGCGTACTACAAAATGGCTGACATAGCTGCAACAGTACAGCGCCCAAGTTCAACATAAAACCGTCTGACACACAGTTCAATGTTGCCCCACTTATCTCGCCAGCCTGCAACACAAACGTAAGTTATAGCAGAAAATTTCAGCGAAATTAAGAGGTGACACTACAATAAAAATTGGTAGAAATGTTAAGAATACAATATGTGAAACCTAAAAGGGTTCCAATGATCTGAATTTTATAAACAAAACATTTAAATTTATAACTGCCACTAAAAATACAAGCATATCAACTAATTTTCTTTGTATTTAAGTTAGACATAATTTAAAAAAAATATTATTTCAAGTATTTATAAAAATAACTAATGTACACACCTGTACATTCCAAAGTTTCCCTCTAGCCACATTAGCTTTTAGACATTTACCAATCCAGGTGAGTATGCGATTCCTCATTTGTGGCCCACCTTTTAACAGCGTGAGGAATATTTTGTGCATATTATTGTTCAAATGTGATGATGCATTCCAAATAGAATTCTCAATCATTGATGTTCCAGCCTATAACATATTAGGAAAATTTAAATGATTTATTTATTTTATATTTAAATTTAAGTGGGATCACTGGAAGAGAATTCTTCTGGTCATCAACTGAAAGCATTATACTAAAAAAGATGAAATATTCTTCACAAAATCTCAATTTACTTGCTAAAGTCCATCACATATATTCACTTTGGACAGTCAAATTGTTCAGTTAACTACCTGTCGTCTGCAGCAGGGTTAATAGAATTGTTATCCAATATTAGAGAATTTTTGAGTTTATTAAGAGCAAAAGGACATTTAAATACTTTTTTCATAGTAGTAAAATAATGTTTAAAATTATTACCGAATCCAAGGGACCATCAAAGAACTGGAATGTTGCATTTGGTTTCGGAGGTAGCACGGATAATGTAAGAAGTGCTCCCAGTATAGAATTCTGGAAATGTCTTCCAATTGTTTCATCTTTTGGTTCACATGACTCCATTAAGATTGGTGCGAGATTTGGGTTGCCTTAAAAAGGATAAATATGATTACTACAAATATGTGTTGTATAAATAAATCACCCCCATTTTACAGTAGAGGTAATTCCATTGGGGATGTATAGCATGCATAAAATGAGTTTTTCATATATCATATTACATCAAAATTTGTTGGTTATAAAAATATATTATGAAGGCTCATAAATTTCAAATTACATCACAATCAAATTTTGCTTGCACAGAATTTAAAAAAATCTGTTTATAGAGCTCATGTTATTCAGTAATTGCATGTTATGTCAAATGATTCATGTAAATGTTTAGTTTTATTATGATTCTAAAATAATTATTATCCATATGGTATTTAATTGGTATATTATATGGTATTTATGGATTATAATTAGTATCCATACAGGTGACAATCTAATTAAGTAAGTATTAAGCAATTTAAGAAAACACTTACTTGCAAATAAGTGAACACACGGAAGTATATAAATTGGTAGATTAATTATGTTTGACTTCATAACACTTAGTGCTATTCTATTAAGAACTGGTATCATTGCATCTTGCAACTGTTTCTGGCATTCTTCTCCACCTAAAATTGTATATAAGTGAATATAAACAAAATTCATGGTATATGGCGAGATTGGGGTCAAGCGCTAGCTTAAAAAACTTATAAAAAATATTAATATCATGAAAAGATTTGAATATAAATAAAATTAAGTTTACCATCAGCCACAAATGCCTTCACCAAATCTTCGAAAAATGTATGACTTTGTGGATCTACATGTTGGAGTAGCTGATATAGTTGCAATGAGAAATCCTGGTCTTCAAAAAGAGCTGGCTGCTTCAAAGCAGTTATAGCATTTCTGAATATTAACTCCCTCATTTTTGATAATGCATTCTGCACAACAGCTGAATTTAATTGCTCATAACTTTGCAAATTTTGCAAAGAACTAAATAGATAAGGGAACACTTGATTTTGTACAACATGTTCTTTACATGCTCTGTTTGTTTTAGGTATGACATGTGTTTCAACATTTTGCAGCAGCAGTCTCTCAAATAATGCTGGTTCCAATGTTTCCAAGTCTATATAAATTTTAGGAGCAATGACTTGCGATAACTCCTCCAAGAAAACTAGCTGTCTATCTGATGAAGGTCCATCTACAGCTTTATTGTTGATAGTAAAATGAAATACATTTTCCACCATGCTATTGACTGTTTCCAAGTCTTCATCCTCTTGTGATTTCTTGTAATTAAGTTGCTTTGGTATGTTATCTCCATTATATTCATTGTCATTTGTCGTTTTAACTTCTGACACTCCCAATAAACCAGCAAATGGATTATTTGGATCTGACATTGTTAATTTTTGAAAACGATAATGATAATAACAATTGCCTGTTTATGTTATTTGTAAAAAATTTACATTCTAATACACGTACGTTTATTTCTGAAAAATTACGATTGGTCACTATTCAGTTGAATCCATTGTACGTTTTCAAAATACGCAAATTGACAATTGATCAAAATATGCTGACTATCGTTTCGTTATCACAACTTCAAGTTGATAAAAAATTGACAATGAAAATGAAGATGAAGATGAAGTTAGAGTGACATTTGAATTTATAAAAAAAAATCTTGTATGATTTTATTTGTCACATAACTGTTTAATACAGATGTTTTAAATTAGTTTTTCAGAAAACTTTTTATTTTTATGAATTGGTTTATATAAAACACTGAAGAAGTGAAACAAAGTTAAGAAAAATATAATAGTTTCCAAATAAACATTTTAATCATTAGTAAATTTATTTATAATCTGTTCAAACGCATTCGTCAAAACAATACTTTTTTCACAAAATTATAGAAAACTAAAATTACTTTTCGTCGAATCTGCCAAAGATATGTATAAAAAATTAAAGCATTATTAAATATATAAAATAACTCCCAAGGAAAATATATTTTTTATAAGAAGTAAGTCTGAGCGGAACAAGAAACCACCTGAGAAACAAATCACTATGCGACAGTGGCGCTGTTTGCCGTTGCGTGGTTTTGAGGAACTAAAGTTTTAGAAATAACTTCTTTGTTTTGCTGCAGTCGTCGTCCGAATCCGAAATCAATATTGCGTATACTCGAACTGTTACGTCGCCTTTATGCAGCAATGCTATGAAAAAATATTTTATATGGCGTATAGTAGTCGCACATAGTGAAACGTTAATTATTAATGTAAGATTGGTAACACTTACTATTATTTACTTGTTAGGTCTTAAAATGAATGCGTGTCCCCTATTATTTGTACAAGTGCTTGCTTAGCTGAAAAATATTACACGTGGTATATATGACTTACACATATTTTTATAAATCATACGCGTTTACATCATATAGGAACGCTGCTATTGTATATATTGAAATTTGAGTTATTTCCGTAAATTTGATATACATATAACAAGATGGCGGTTGCTTCCCCAAGCGCTCGACAAAGGCGTCATTTGATGCGTCCTATTTTTAATTCTGTATAAAATATTTGACAGTGCATGAACTAATTATTAGCTTTAATATGGTTTTTAAGCCTAAATTACTAAGATTATGGTGTCGGCATCGGATTGTTTTTATAATTTTCGAAGGTTTGCTATAATTTCAAGGTATACAAGTAAATATTATACTACCAAATTGAAAAGGCAACAGGTGTAGTTGTGAGTCACTGTACGCCAGTAAACTTTGTGTATGTGTGTGTAAGCGTGATACGCTACGTGACCTCGAAAAAGGAAGGACATGGCTATCTTGACGTTCTAGAAGGCTGACGTCATTCAATTTGATTCGTCGCGTGAGCGCAACGCACAGCAAGACATTGTGAAATGTGAACGGCCACCCACTGCTTGCATTACCACTTATATCTACTAATTTATTTATTTGAAAGTGGTGGCTATGAACAGTTATTCTACTGTTTCTATCCATACATGTTGATTTTATAACTGCGCTACACTAATTTGTGATTCCTGGATACATTGTCCCAATGCTAATTGTTTCGACGAATATTAGGTATAGTATATAAGAAATCAATGGAGATTAATTCCGCCCCTAACTATGATTATATTAGACGATGAAATTAATTAACGGATACTTCTTTGGCTTAATTTCGGTTTTACACAATATGAGGTTTTCAAATACATACGGAAAGGTTGACATATCTATGTGTGAGTGACTTATTGCTACACCACAATAACAATTATTCTTTTAATGTAAGTTGGGTATGGTTTTATTAAGTTTTAAAACTTTTAATTGTTTTACAGCATTCAATTTTACAGTTTTTAAATGTTTTTTGTTGTTTATTTTTGCTTATAAAATCAATTCTAGTAATAGTATGCTTTACAATGTTCAATTTAAATTGGTCGGGTTATGCAGCCTCATACATAGGTATTTGCGACGTTGCCAAGTTTCTTTGATGACGTAACGTACAGCGTATTTAACGATTCACTAAGAAACTTCACACTTAAGAATTATCGTAAAATTTTAGATTTTAATATATCAAATGTATTTAGAAGAGGTATTTCTTTTTATTATAACGTTGATAGGCATTAAAATGTGCTAATACGTCATTTAACAGATACACGGCTTATGGAATTTTTGTAGTGTAAAATATGTTTATTTAGGTCATAAATTATTTTGTCACGAATTAAATATTATTTAGAAATGTTTTTGCTTAAAGTCTGTTTCTGTTAGTAGATTTCTTGTAACAAGTTGATATTTTGGGGTTTTAAAAAGTTCTAATTTTTCATATTAGCGAGAAATATAAAAAAAGTAGTAGTTTACATCCACTTGCACAGTTCTTTTCGCAAATTTGTATATTAAATCGCAAATATACACTACAAATATATGATAGATAACATCTTACTTCTTTTCTATCGATTCAGTCGAGTTATTTTTTTGTGTATTGTCTTATTTTCATATACCTTATTTGGATCTTTACGTTCATCAATCGAAACTTATTTTTTATTGTAATCATAATTTTAGAGATATTCAAGGCTATTTTGAATGTTTTGATTAAAATTTGGTAATCATTAAATCGTACGACCTGAATATGTTTCCATCTTATATTTCGGTTTTGGAGCACATATTCGAAAATTATAAAGCATCAAAACAAAAATTAGTGAAAATATCATTTTTTGCAGACCAAAGTGATTAAAAATTATTGATATCATTACCTAGGACTGGTTTTCAGTCTAAGATAGTTCAAATATGCGTTTTTAACTACAAAATATGTAATTTCCCCCAAAAAAAATAACTATAAATTGGTACATAACATTTTTCAACTTCGTAACATATTTTTTTGTTTGATATAATTAAGATAGAAAATATAAGCTGTAGTGAATTATTTACAAAAAGTATTAAATAGTTATTTTACAGAGTAAAATTTTCGTTGTTAATTAAAGCGGAGATATAAAAAAAATCAGAACTTGCTGAATAATTTCCATGTTTAACTTATTTAGCAAGTTCTGATTTTTTTTAGATCGAAGTAGTTGAAACATCGTAACAAATGTGTAATATTAATTTCACACAATAATCAAATCATTTCTCAATTCCAGTGTATCCTACACAATGGCAGAGACTGCACCGACTGTTCTGGCAGAAGATTTGGAAGACGGTGAGATTGAAAGCGAAGGAGAAGAGGCAACAGAAAATGTAGTAACCGGCAAATCAGACGAATGTAATATAAACGATGAAGAAAATCAAGATATTCATAAAGAAGAACAACAACAATTTTATTATTCTAAATCAGGTAAGAAGAAAAAGTCGAAGTCGCATAAAGGTGAGCAAAAGTTCAAGGATAAAAGTAAAAAGAATCGTAAATATACTAATCCTTTAGATGACGATTTCGCTGGTAATATTGAAAAAGCTATACGGAAAGCTATGAACAAAAATGAAGATATTCAAGGCGAAGTTGAAAACGAAGCCGAGGAACGTCGTAAATATAAAAAAAGAAAAAAGTATGATAACAAAGATGGCCCGGGTAGAAAGCGTAAGAAACAAGAATATTCTGATGAAATGGATGAAAGCGAAATGATGTGTGTTAGAGGTGCATCGCCGGTTCATAAAAATTCCCCTGGAGAAGCATATCAGGAAAATGATAGCTCGTATGCGTCGGATAGCAGCCAAGAATCTCGGGGACCCCCACAACACCGTCCACAAAGGCAGAGACCACCTCAACGTGAAAGGAATAAGAACAATAAAAATGACAGGAGAAGAGGTACACATCCAATGCAAGATCCCGAAGGTGTTTGTTTGTACTACATGCAGGGGAAATGTCAGAAAGGTGATGAATGTCTTTTTTCACACGATGTTCAGCCTCCTCGAAAGATGGAGCTTTGCAAATTTTACCTCATGGACTGCTGTGCGAAACGCGATAAGTGTTTATATATGCACGCAGATTTTCCTTGTAAATATTATCACACTGGGCTTCCTTGTATATATAAAGACGAGTGTAAGTTCGCACACGGTAAACCATTGAATGACAGTCTAAAAAATATTCTTCTAAAGCATATAGAATCCGCACCCAAAGAGATTTTAGGAGATTTCCCAAGATTAAATAGGGAGGGAGCCTTAAAATTGATACAAAATACTCAACTAAAACTAATGCAACAATTTTCAGAAAACACTGAGTCTCAAGAGAGAAGTATACCATCTCTATTTGAATTAAATATCCCGATTCCTCAAAATTCCCCGGATAGCTTCCAAATGCATCAGTATAACAACGAAAGGCAAAAAGTGTCGCCGAAAATACGACAATCAAGGTGGCAAAATGAAGGCTCTAATCCGAATTTTGGTATGAACTTGTCACCCAATGGTAATACGAGCTCAAGTAATATTCTTAACATTAAAAACTTAACAGGAGTATTAACGCCTAAACAAATTTCAGATCTTACCAAAATGGGTATCGAAAATTTAGACCAACTAGGCCAATTAACTGTTTTACAGTTAAATAGTATTGGTATTTCCTTAAAACAAATAACTGAAATACAATTGAATACAATGAGCATACAAAAGTTAGGTTTAATTAATAATGTCGATCAACAGGCGCAAGCTTTTATAGGATCCAATGCCGGTGCTCAAGACATGGACCTAAGAGTGCCTCCTGTGGTCCAAGTTTCAAGCAATGCATCATTATCAACCGACTTACCTGGGCAAGATATTGACATGCGCTTTCAGCCTAGTGTATCGCTTCAAAAAACCGAGGAAATCGCTGACACGAGAGAAGGTAAAAGCGTGGAGCAGAATAAGGATATGATTGACATAGACCAGTACACCAAGGACGCCTTGAAGTTTGCGTTAAAGGATAAAGAAAATATTGATATCTCGAACGAGTCGTTTGAAAACGAGAAACCTGTTCCATCAATCGAGTCAAAAGATGTCGATCACAGAGTACTGCCTTTCGCTAATGACGATCCAAGAATGCGACATGCTAAAATAGAAGACAAGCCCAGGCAAGCAGATACGGATATAAGATTTCTTCAACCGGAACCAATTTTTAAAAATACCGAGAAGCGTCATCGTCGCTCAACTACTGATGATGAAGATAACAATCTTTTGATAGATGAAAAATGGTATTCAAGTGAT